CTCAAAACTGCTTTGGCTATTTGGGGTCTTTTGTGACTCCAAACAAATTTTAAGACTTTTTGTTCTAGTTCTGTAAAAAATGCCACTGGTAATTTGATAGGGATTGCACTGAATCTGTAGATTGCCTTGGGTAGTAATTTTCACAGTATTGATTCTTCCAGTCCAAGAACATGGTATATCTCTCCATCTGTTTGTATCATCTTTAATTTCTTTCATCAGTGTCTTATAGTTTTCTGCATACAGGTCTTTTGTCTCCCTAGGTAGGCTTATTCCTAGGTATTTTATTCTTTTTGTTGCAATGGTGAATGGGAGTGTTTCCTTAATTTCTCTTTCTGATCTTCCGTTGTTAGTGTGTAGGAATGCAAGAGATTTCTGTGCATTAATTTTGTATCCTGCAACCTTACCAAATTCATTGATTAGCTCTAGTAGTTTTCTGGCGGCATCTTTAGGATTCTCTATGTACAGTATCATGTCATCTGCAAACAGTGACAGTTTTACTTCTTTTCCAACTTGTATGCCTTTTCTTTTTCTTCTCTGATTGCCGTAGCTATGACTTCCAAAACTATGTTGAATGATAGTGGAAACAGTGGACATCCTTGTCTTGTTCCTGATCTTAGAGGAAATGCTTTCAGTTTTTCACCACTGAGAATGATGTTGGCTGTGGGTTTGTCGTATATGGCCTTTATTATGTTGAGGTAGGTTCCCTCTATGCCCACCCTCTGGAGAGTGTTTATCATAAATGGGTGTTGAATTTTGTCAAAAGCTTTTTCTGCATCTATTGAGATGATCATATGGTATTTATTCTTCAGTTTGTTAATATGGTGTATCACTTGATTGATTTGCATATATTGAAGAATCCTTGCATCCCTGGGATAAATCCCACTTGATCATGGTGTACGATCCTTTTAATGTGTTGTTGGATTCTGTTTGCTAGTATTTTGTCGAGGATTTCTGCATGTATAATTCATCAGTGATACTGGTCTGTAATTTTCTTTTTTTGTAGTACCTTTGACTGGTGTTGGTATCAGGGTGATGGTGGCCTCACAGAATGGAGTGTTCCTTCCTCTGCAATTTTTTGGAAGAGTTTGAGAAGGATGGGTGTTAGCTCTTCTTTAAATGTTTCACAGAATTCACCTATGAAGCTACCTGGTCCTGGACTTTTGTTTGTTGGGAGATTTTTAATCACAGTTTCAGTTTCATTACTTGTGATTGATCTGTTCATATTTTCCATTTCTTCCTGGTTCAGTCTTGGAAGGTTATACCTTTCTAAGAATTTGTCCATTTCTTCCAGGTTGTCCATTTTATTGGCACAGAGCTGCCTGTAGTAGTCTCTTAGGATGCTTTATATTTCTGCGGTCTCCATTGTAACTTCTCCTTTTTAATTTCTAATTTTATTGATTTGCATCCTCTCCCTCTTTTTCCTTTTTGTTTTTATTTTATTTATTTATTTATGGCTGACCTGGGTCTTCGTTGCTGCACACAGGCTTTCTCTAGTTGCGGCGAGCGGGGGCTACCCTTTGTTGCGGTGCGCGTGCTTCTCATCGCGGTGGCTTCTCTCGTTGCAGAGCACGGGCTCTAGGCGCGCAGGCTTCAACAGTTGTGGCACGCAGGCTCTAGAGCGCAGGCTCAGTAGTTGTGGTGCATGGGCTTAGCTGCTCCACGGCATGTGGGATCTTCCCGGACCAGGACTCGCACCTGTGACCCCTGCATTGGCAGGCGGATTCTTAACCACTGCACCACCAGGGAAGTCCCGCTCCCTCTTTTTCTTGATGAGTCTGGCTAATGGTTTATCAATTTTGTTTATCTTCTCAGAGAACCAGCTTTTAGTTTTACTGATCTTTGCTATTGTTTTCTTTGTTTCTATTTCATTTCTTTCTGCTCTGATCTTTATGATTTCTTTCCTTCTGCTAACTTTGGGGTTTTTTAGTTCTTCTTTCTCTAGCTCCTTTAGGTGTAAGGTTAGATTGTTTATTTGAGATTTTTCTTGTTTCTTGAGGTAGGCTTGTATTGCTATAAACTTCCCTCTTAGAACTGCTTTTGCTGCAGCCCATAGGTTTTGGATCGGCGTGTTTTCGTTGTCATTTGTCTCTAGGTATTTTTTGATTTCCTCTTTGATTTCTTCAGTGATCTCTTGGTTATTTAGTAACGTATTGTTTAGCCTCCATGTGTTTGTGATTTTTACGTTTTTTTCCCTGTAACTGATTTCTAATCTCAGAGCGTTGTGGTTGGGAAAGTAGCTTGATATGATTTTGATTTTCTTAAATTTACCAAAGATTGATTTATGATCCAAGATGTGATCTATCCTGGAGAATGATCCATATGCACTTGAGAAGAAAGTGTCATCTGCCGTTTTTGAAAGAAATGTCCTATAAATATCAATTAAATTTATCTGGTCTATTGTGTCATTTAAAGCTTGTGTTTCCTTATTAATTTTCTGTCTGGATGATCTGTCCATTGGTGTAGGTGAGGTGTTAAAGTCCCCCACTATTCTTGTGTTACTGTTGATTTCCTCTTTTTACAGCTGCTGGCACTTGCCTTACATATTGAGGTGCTCCTATGTTGGGTGCATATATATTTATAATTGTTATATTTTCTTGGATTGATCACTTGATCATTACATAGTGACCTTCCCTGTCTCTTGTAATATTCTTTATTTTAAAGTCTATTTCATCTGATACCACTATTGCTACTCCAGCTTTGATTTTCATTTTCATAGAATATCTTTCTCCATCCCCTCATTTTCAGTCTGTATGTGTCCCTAGGTCTGAAGTGGGTCTCTTGTAGACAGCATATATATGGGTCTTGTTTTCGTATGCATTCAGCGAGCCTGTGTCTTTTGGTTGGAGCATTTAATCCATTCACGTTTAAGGTAATTATTGATACATATGTTCCTATGGCCATTTTCTTAATTCCTATGGGTTTGTTTTTGTAGGTCTTTTTCTTCTCTTGTGTTTCCCACTTAGAGAAGTTCCTTTAGCATTTGTTGTAGAGCTGGTTTGGTGGTGCTGAATTCTCTTAGCTTTTGCTTGTCTGTAAAGCTTTTGATTTCTCCATTGAATCTGAATGAGATCCTTGCCAGGTAGAGTAATCTTGGTTGTAGGTTCTTACCTTTCATCACTTTAAATATATTGTGCCACTCCCTTCTGGCTTGTAGAGTTTCTGTTGAGAAATCAGCTGTTAACCTTATGGGAGTTCCCTTGTATGTTATTTGTCTTTTTTCCCTCGTTGCTTTCAGTAATTTTTCTCTGTCTTTAATTTTTGTCAATTTGATTGCTGTGTGTCTCGGCATGCTTCTCCTTGGGTTTATCGTGCCTGGGACTCTCTGTGCTTCCTGGACTTGGGTGGCTATTTTCCTTCCCATGTCAGGGAAGTTTTTGACTATAATCTCTTCAAATATTTTCTCAGGTCCTTTCTCTCTCTCTTCTCCTTTTGGGACCCCTATAATGCGAATGTTGTTGTGTTTAATGTTGTCCCAGAGGTCTCTTAGGCTGTCTTCATTTCTTTTCATTCTTTTTTCTTTATTCTGTTCCGCAGCAGTGAATTCCACCATTCTGTCTTCCAGGTCACTTATCCATTCTTCTGCCTCAGTTATTCTGCTATTGATTCCTTCTAGTGTAGTTTTCACTTCAGTTATTGTATTGTTCATCTCTGTTTGTTTCTTCTTTAATTCTTCTGGGTCTTTGTTAAACATTTCTTGCATCTTTTCGATCTTTGCTTCCATTCTTTTTCCGAGGTCCTGGATCATTTTCACTATCATTATTCTGAATTCTTTTTCTGGAAGGTTGCCTACCTCCATTTCATTTAGTTGTTTCTCTGGGGTTTTATCTTGTTCATTCATCTGGTACAAAGTCCTCTGCCTTTTCATTTTGTCTACCTTTCTGTGCATGTGGTCTTCCCTCCACAGGCTGCAGGACTGTAGTTCTTCTTGCTCCTGCTGTCGGCCCTCTGGTGGATGAGGCTCTCTCAGCCTGAACTATTTTGATACAACAACTGAACAGACCTGCAGCACCATGAGCGGGGTACACCCGGGGGTAGGAGGTAAGGGGTGTCTTCTGGCGAAGGTGACTGGGGAGACAAGTGTCTCCCAGATGGTGGGAGGGCGTGGAGGTTTTCTGCAGAAGAGGTTCCACTGGGAGGGTCACACCTGGGCCCGGGAGCACGAGAGAACCGGGTGCGTGTGGGGTACCTCAGAGTCTTCCATCGGGTGGAGAGATTCAGGGAGGGAGGGCTGAGCCCACGGCTGTGGAGGTCCCTTGGGGCAAGCGGACACACAGGCTGGAGGCTGAGTGGGGTATGTGCGCAAGGGGAAGGAAGCTGAGGGGGCTTCCAGAGAACATCAGCATTCAGGATGGAGGGAAGGGAAAAAAAGAGAAGAAAACCACAAAGGGGACTGACTAGTGGCATCAGAAACAGAAGAACAGCCAAGGAAAGATACTGTCTTGGAAACAGGAAGAAGGGATCCAAGAGGCAGCGCTCTGCCCCGGCTCCCAGGGTCCAGGGCTCCATGCCCAGCTCTCTTCCTGGAGGCCTGGCACCAGCCAGCTGGCGCCCTGACCAGCGGTCCAGGTGCTGCTTCCTTCTCTGCACGTTCCGTGCCCAAGCCCAGGGTTCTCCCCAGTACCCGCAAGTCCCCAGAGAACCAGAGTGATGGCCGACACACGCACCAACCCCTGCCCCTCGCGGGACCCTGGCACTGTCTACAACGGGCGGGAGGAACAGCCAGACAAGGAGGCCCGTGGCTCCGCATGCAGGAACTTTTTAAAAAAGCACCTGTGCCAGCACCTTCTTCACGGGCGGCCGGTGGACACGGAGACAAAAAGCGTCCACTGTGAACACTGTTTAGACAGAGACGACTGGGGTTTTGACCGAGTGCGTGATTTAAACACTCCTTGAAAGAGAGCACATCTGTGCCGGCACGGGTGCTACAAGGGGGAGGTCCGTTGGGCTCTGGAGCACCAGTATATGAATAACAAAGGGCATTCGGGCTTTAAAACGCTTACCTCTGGAGTTAGATGTACTTCCATGGGGGTGTACGTCGGCCAGTATCCCATTGTAAGTATGTTCACTGTCAGGTCTATAGAGCCCGGGTCACTTTGATTCTGCATATACTAAAAACAAAGAAAATCAGGACAGAATGATTACTTTAGAATATCACCAAAAAGAATTAATTCATTAAAAAGTAAATGGTGTCATTTTCAAAGTACAGTTTACCTTGTGTTTTCATTTATTTTAGTCCCTGGAACATATTTCACCGAAACCACACACCCTGTTCTAAAGTCACTAGAAATGTTTTCTCTTCTTTAGTCAAATAAGGATCATTAAAATCATTTAAGTCAAATTTTTAGTGTGCAATTTTAGGGATTATTTTCCCTTTTTCTTTTTTTGGCTATACTGCACAGCTCGCGGGATCTTAGTTCCCCAACCAGGGACTGAACCTGGGCCCTTGGCGGTTAAAGAGTGTAGTCTTAACCACTGGACTGCCAGGGAATTCCCAGGGATTATTTTTCTTTTTCATTTTGAATTTCAGTTTTTTGAATACGTAAGATGTTAACGGTGTAATTTTTAAGGACGAGGATTCTACATATTCACGTACTTATGTACATAATTTACATAATCATTTCTCACAATTTAAAATAGGATACTTTTTAAAAAGCTGTTTTACTTGACAAGAACACAACTTGCCTGCTTGAAATGAACCATGATGTCCTTAGAGAGCTCCATGTCCTTGAACATGCCTTCCAGCTTGCTGGTGAAAGCAGCCCCACACTCTGGACACACGTGGACTGCAGGTGAGCATCCTGGGAGAACACCCATCGGGCACCAAGCCCCACCCCCGCCCCACACGCTCACCGTGCTTCAGCTTCGACAGCATAGACTTTTCAGCATCAACGGAGGCACTTTTTCCAACGAGGAGTCTTTTTGCCAAATCTTTCTTATAAAATGCTTCAAAGACATCTTTACCTATTTATGAGCAAGTGAGGACAACGTTAAGTCATTAGATAGCTACCATGCAAACGTTCACCTCGACAGCTGAGACAGCCAGAGGGGCGTCCACCCTGACGCCAGCCAGCTCTACCCACTGAATCCCCACAAACACCTCACTCAGTTCGTGGCAGCCGTCACCCATGTCCCTGTGGTAACAGGGAAGCGGACACATTCCTGTTTTTCTCAACAGAAGACGGGGCCCGACTACAGATGCTCTGTGGACACCGCGTCCTCTGTGCCCGGCGGTGAGGAGATGCCGCGAGCCCCGCTCACCGTGAATGAACCGGAATAGGATCATGATCTTGTCCAGGATCCTCTCCAGCTCCTCGTCCGTTGCTTCCTTATTACCTGCTCTCAATTTTGAATCAACGTGCTTTGCTGTAAGAGGTTCAATTATTTGAAAAATAAGCATTCATTATATAATACATATTCTAAATAGATGAAGGAAGATCTTTCATTTCTCCACGCAAAAACTGAACAGTAGCACTCTGGAACCTTTCCAAAATGACATTATTATGAGACAAAAAGGTAAACACCTGATTTTCTAAGATCTGTACTTTCAAGGCACCAAGAACAAACACTTTGATCCCATGCTGGGGCTCATGACACATGAGTGCTCCAGAAATTGCAGTACCCCGTCTTCAAGATGTGATGTGATACATCCGGGTGAGACTTTCTCAAGAGAAAGCACTCTTCTCAGGGCTGACAATGCAGGGACAGAGCAGTTCTGCTTGGGCTTCTTGTTTCTGAGATACACGAACCCACCATGACCGGGCTTAAGGAAAGCAGAACCCAAGCTCCCAAGAGTCTGAACCCATCTTTAGAGAAATCGCAATCCATAAAGTGGTTCAAAGGCTAAATTAAATTGCCTTTAAACTTCTCCTCTTGTCTTTTTCCCCTTATTATTCTTTATTATGAAATATTCTGAACATACACAGAAGTAGTCACTTGTACAGTGAACCCCATGCTCCCACCACACATTTTCAACAACCCTCAACAGAGCCCAAGTCTGCATCACACTGTCCCTGCCCTTTGCCTCCTGTCAATCTCAAAAAAAAAAAAAAAAAAAAATTTACTCACTAATGAAATTCTGTGAATCCTTAAATATTTTGATATTATCATGAAATAATTATATAAAGTGATAATTTAAAAACTGTTTCATCTTAAAATATGCTATCTCCTGAGATGTCATTCAATTTTACCATACTTTAACACTGACTGGAGGATACAAAGATAGTGACTAAATAGCATCTCCTGTTAAGTATTATCTAGAGATTGATAGTTATCCTCATAACCTCATAACGTTCATATGTAACAAACCTCAATCCAATTTCTGGGCAGAAATCACTGGCTTGTAGTCGACATAGAGAATCAAGGCTCATCCTTACAAAAACAACTCTGGAGCTGTGAGTAGTACAAACTAGGATAAATCTTTATGTCCCTTCCTCTCTTATGATGTCAAGCTCCATTTCCTTGCAAAATCACAACTACATTCACCCTTATGAAAGTACCACGCACTTACATACGTATTTAATATATCTATAAGCACACACCTGTGTATGTGGTTTTTTGAGAAGGTGTGTCCTGTTAAGGCATGTTCCCTGCCCTCCCCATAAGGAGGCTGAACTTTTGGGGAAAAAAATCTACTTGAGTTTTGCTTTATTTTCCCATGTTAAGAAAAGGTATAGAAGTATGTGTTTCTACCGATCAGCTCTGCAGGTTTGTTTGGCCTCTTGTTGATGAATGATTCGAAGGACTCCTTCATCAGGTTGATGAACTTCTCGTTCCTCTGGAAGCACACTTCTATCACGTGGTCTACCCGGTCCTTGAAATCCAGCAGGTCCTGCACCATATCTTTATCTTTTTCAGGATTGATAACGATTGTTGTCCCAAAAGTCTGCAAAAACATACCCCAAGTCATCAACAGGTTTTCTGATACAATTTTTCTCCTGCTATCAAACAATCATGATAGTGCTATATAAATTAATCACTCCTGGTGTTAAACACGAAATAGTTTCAGAAGTTTCACAAATTTAGTCTACCTTCTAAAAATTAAGTGGATATGCAACTAATGCTTTAGGGTTACAATTCTGCTTCTGGAAGAATTTATCAATTACTAGGGAAATGTCTGTTGCTTTCTGAAGAAAAAACTTTTACTTATAAATTCCTCAAATAGAAAGTAACCCCCTTACCCTGATACACCTTTTTGGACTTCCTGACTATAGTTTTCTTTCCCCTTCACTTCTAACCATGGGTGGTTTAGAGCCTGGTTTTTAGCCTGTATTTTTAATTTAAAGATGCTATTTAAACATTACTAAAAGTCTGTGCGTGACAACAACAGTTCGCTATCTGATGAAAAACTACCAGCTGAAGAGATGCTGAACACAACCGTGGTTCAATGTAAGACACGTCTTCACAGGACACACACACAGTTGCACGTCAAAGGTGCCCATGGAGGCTGATCGCTGGTGAAAAGGTACAAATGACATGGCATAGAGACCTTCTGGAGACGGACAGGGCATGACCAGCAGGGGCAGGAGGGACTCACTCTTCACCCTGTACCCTTTCACACTGACAGGATTTTAAAATAACGTACATAAGACCACGACACACGAGGGTCAGCTTTATTTTGTGAGGAAACACTGTGCTGTCACAGCGTAACTGCTTATCATTAGTGGACCCTTGGAACCGTGTTCACACACTGACTTTTCCTGCCGAGAATGGACACTGCAAAGGTGAACTCCTGTGTTCAGCACCTGTTCCTGTTCTCTCAGGACTACTGGTCGGCAAAACCCTAAATCTCCACTGGCCTTTCTTAACATAAAGCTCCAGTGCTGACCCAGTGTGAGTCGCTTATGCCTTTCAGCTCAATGCAACCGCACAAAATCCTGGGGGCATGTGTGTGTGCATGCATGTGTGCGTGTGTCCAAGCTGGCCACATGCAGACCAACATGCAACTTCAGGCCTGATTATTTCCTTTATCTTTTTCCTCAGCTGAATTTTCCCTGTGACAGTCACAGATTCACGTGCGGCAGAAACAGTGGCGATGTCCTCGCACACTAAGCCTCGTCTCCCCGACGGGCGTGGGAAGCTACTGAGCAGCGCCCCAGCCAGGACACCGGCCTTGACACAGCCCACCCGTCCCACCCCGATGGGTCGCGGTGTTCGCCTGTAGCTCCCTGTGCGTCACCTGGGCAGCCATCACCTGTGTGTGTCACCTACGCCCACGGCCAAGAGGACAAGCAGTCAGCACCACAAGGATCTCTCCTGTTGCCTTGCATGCATACACACGCAGAAACCAGCAAGCACACGCTTACGTAATAAATCCTGGATTTCTAGGAAACAAAGTAGCATACACACCCACCTGACATACCAAAATATGTGAGAGTTCCCACTCAGCAAAGGCATGAGATCACGTTTATACAGTAGATTCACAAAAACAACTTTTGAAAATCTTGATTGTAGAACTCAGCTAGTATCGGGTTGGCCAAAAGTTCGTTCAGTTTCTTCTGCAAGATGGCTCTAGTAGCGCTTAGCTGTCTTTAACTTCATTCAAAACTATTTTGTTAGACTGTATTGTGACAGCTGTCACATCAGCGTGCATTTAAAAAAGACTTATCAAATTTGGTGAATCTTTGTGTAGCCATTTTAATACTGAAGATGGAAGAAAAAACAACATTCTTGGCATATTATGCTTTATTATTTCAAGAAAGGTAAAAACGCAACTGAAGCACAAAAAAAGATGTGTGCAGTATATGGAGAAGGTGCTGTGACTGACAGAACGTGTCAAAAGTGGTTTGCGAAGTTCTGTGCTGGAGATTTCTCGCTGGACGATGCTCCACAGTTGAGTAGACCAGTTCAAGTTGATAGCGATCAAATCGAGACATTAATTGAGAACAATCAATGTTATACCACAGGGTAGATAGCCAAAACACTCAAAATATCCAAATCAAGCACTGATCATCATTTGAACCAGCTCGGTTATGTTAATCGCTTTGATGTTTGGGTTCCACGTAAGTTAAGCGAAAAAAACCTACTTGATGGTATTTCCGCAGAATAATTCTCTACTTAAACGTTCCGTTTTTAAAACAAATTGTGACGGGCGATGCAAAGTGGATACTGTACAGTAATGAGTGGATACTGTACAGTAAAGAGATTGTGGGGCAAGTGAAATGGACCACCACCAACCACACCAAAGGCCAGTCTTCATCCAAAAGAGGTGATGTTGTGTGTGTGGTGGGATTGGAAGGGAGTCCTCTATTATGAGCTCCTTCCGGAAAACCAAATGATTAATTCCAACAAGTACTGCTCCCAATGAGACCAAATGAAAGCAGCACTCGATGAAAAGTGTCTGGAATTAGTCAACAGAAAACACATAATCTTCCATCAGGATAACGCAAGACCGTATATTTCTATGATGACCAGGCAAAAACTGTTACAGCTTGGCTGGGAAGTTCTGATTCATCCACCGTATCACCAGACATTGCACCTTCAGATTTCCATTTATTTCAGTCTTTACAAAATTCTCTTCATGAAAAAAAATGCAATTCCCTGGAAGACAGTGAAAGGCACCTGAACAGTTCTTTGCTCAAAAAGGTAAGAAGTTTTGGGACGACGGAATTATGAAGTTGCCTGAAAAATGGCAGAAGGTAGTGGAACAAAACAGTGAATACGTTGTTCAATAAAGTTCTTGGTGAAAATGAAAAATGTGTCTTTTATTTCTACTTGAAAACCAAAGGAACTTTTCGGCCAACCCAATACTTACACTGACAACAAATGGCCAAATGGCAGCTTTTAAAACGTGTTTACACCCAGACAGTATTCACCCCTAAAACTCCTGTGCACGGGTGACCTGGAGGGAGATGTGTGATGGTGGCCCCACGCTGTCCCTCACAGAGCCCAACCGATGGCCACGCACCTTGATATACTCGCTCCAGTGCTGCAGCAGCGCCTGCTGGCCACCCCGCACGCGGCTGAACAGCTGGTACATCTGAGTGAGGTCAGGCACTCTGTTCTCATCCAACAGGTGGTCCAGCCCTGAGATCACACGGCAATGTTAGCTCGGCACGGCGGGCGGGACGGCGGCACGAGCAAAAGCTAGGCTGGGCCAGGGCTTGCGGCACACAGGGTCCCCGCGGACGCGGAAACCCAGGGGTCGGCTGGTTCCTAGGCGGGCAAGGCCCCGTGACGCAGCCCAGCAGGCGAGTCTTGTCCCGAGCACCATGCTGGGAGGTGTAGTCCCCACCCCTTCCCCGCATGGAGGCCCCTTATGTGGCTACTGCAGCAAAGGTCCGAAGAACGCTCACACCAACTCTGGCCTGGGAGCTTCACGACCCCAGATCACTTCTGATTTAGTCCATCAGCCAGAAAGTACATTTGCCTAAGATAAGCTACCAAATCTCACCTTTTAGTTGACTTATTTTATTCACCTGTATAATAAATTGTGGAAGGAAAACATGTATTGTTTATCAGATACTTGGAGGTGCTTAACAGCATTTTTTTAGGTCTTTACTATTTCAGGTTTTAACAAAGATTTTCTAAAACCACCACAGCCAGAAGAGCTTCGTGAAGGACGCTCTAACCACCCGCTTTCTGATAACTGTGGGGAGGCAGTGAGGTTAGAGCAGAGAAGCTGTGAGCCAGTCATGTGACTGCTGCCTCAGCTTCTGTTGTGAATCAGGCACACTGTCCACATGTCAAAGACACACAAACGCGTCGGCTGTGCCAACGGACCCTGAGCAAAGGCTGCAAACGCCTATGTTTCTGTCAATTACGACTTGATCTACTGATGCAGACACCTTATTCCACAACTGATCTACGGAAACGCTGATGATGACTAAAAACTCAAAACTTATAGCTTATAATTTTTTAAATGCCTTTAATAAAACTTAGACTATACTCTTACATATATATAATTTACCATTTTCTTGAAATAATTTTGCTTATCAAAATACACAGTGAAACGATTCATCCAAGTTTATACTGTCTACTTGAAGTTCCCTTTTCTTTTAAAAGTGACTCCTTCTTGGACCGCCCTGGTGGTCCAGTGGTTAAGACTCTGCGCTTCCACTGCAAGGGGCGAGGGTTCGATCCCTGGTCGGGGAACTAAGATCCCTCATGCCATACGGCGTGGCGCCCCCGCCCCCCCCTCAAAAAGTGACTCCTTTTTAATGAACACCTAGTATGAAATCGGAGGACACTTGTTTCAGGTGGACAGTAAATCGAGGCCCCATCCACGTGGAAACGTACCAGTGTGCGGGCTCCAGTGTGATGTGAGCAGGAGACACCAGATTCACACCCTGGCCCTTGGCTTTCGGGCCATGATCTGAGGCACTAGTGTCTCACTCGGTTTTCCTGTAAACTGGGGCTGTTCTAGGACCAGAAGGCATTTACATGAAGTACAGAAGATGCTCACGAACACTAATTCTCTCCTTTTGGCTTCATTCTGGTTTCACTTGGAAGCCCCACGTTTAGTGTCTCATTAGAGATAATATTACCATCTGGCAAAGCAGACCCCAACCAGACGCATTTGGGGGCTATTGGGCCTTCCCAAAATTAGACTTTAAGGTTTCCAATAGCTTGAAACAGATCCCGTGGCTCCAAAATGACTTTCAAACATAACACTAAATCACATAAAAAGCAACACCAAGCACTAAAGTGTGCAAGGTTAGACTGTGCTCATTACAGTGAGGGTGGGAGTGAAAACGTCACATCACCTCTAACAGCACGGTGCTAAAACCGCACTGTCAGCCGCGTGCCGAACTGGCCTGGTCTGCCTCTGTCCTGGGACCATGGCACCAGCAGCTCGTCTGCCGCGGAGCCACATGCAGGGCAGGGATGCAGCCTGCGGGCACCCCCAGCCCGTCAGACCGCGCGCATCCACACCTGCCAGTCAGTGCTCAGGAGGGACGTCCCTGTACAGGATGGGGCCTGTGGGCACGGCCCAGGCCGTCTGCCGGCCAGAGGGCCTCTCGCAACCAACCTCTCAGCCTGGATAGGATTTCACGTGATTTTAGCTTAAACTGTGGTTCTTACATGTGCCTTTCACTATTGCGTGTAATCAATTTTCCCCTCAAGGGCTAATGTCCATCATTTTCCTGATGATTTTAGTGCCTGTATTCTTACAACAACAACTGTCCTCGCGTGCTTACAATGCTCCGCTAACTCTCTTAGCAAATCAGGGACGACCAATCAATGCAGAGACACAGAGCTGGGAAAACCTACCTTTCTGCAGAATCGCTGTTAAATGTTCTCCTAACAGCTGCTTCTCCACACAGGCAATCAATGGTTTCCTGGGGAGTAAACAGAGGTGCGTCAGGAAGGAAGCACAGGGGAGAGCCTGTCGCTGTGGAGGACGGGCCCCCCCGTCCACGCCGCTGAGCCCAAGCCAGCGCACGCCCAGCCATCGCCGACGCCGACACAGACTCAGGTCACCAGGGCCCCGGGAGAGGGGGATAGCAGCGGACGGGAGGCACCCTCGCCCACCACACCTGGGGACGACCCGGGCGGGCTGCCCGTGACCCCGCCCTACCCGGGTCCCACAGACGGCCTCCTGCACCCACAGTTGCCCCTCTGCCCTCACTTCTTCTTGCCTGTCTTCCCCCAGGACCACTCTTCAAAATCTGACTCCTCAGAGCGGCTGCGGGAATGACACGCAGGACACACAGCTGCCACTCCTGACCCATCACCCCTGCTCGCTCAGCTCTTCTTTTAGGAGATCAGAGCCCCCGTTTCGCTCCCAGGCATATTGACCTCGGCCATCATTTTGAGGAATTTTTCACCGCACCACCTCAGGTGAACCTCAGAGTGACCCCAGAGGGAGGCGCGGCAGGCACTCAGGCTCCGGGCACGGAGGGCCCAGAGGTGTGGCCTGCACCGACACCCGCAGCGCCCGTCCCGAGGGTAGCGGCGTGCACAGGCGAGGCAGGAAGGGGCGCCCGGAGCGCAGCCCGTAGGCTGCCGCAGCTCCTTACCTGCGCCACCTCCCTCCTGTTTCTCCGAAAACCGTTTCTCACTCTGTGACCTTTGAATCGCCCGACACCACAGGAGCCACCTCGGGCAGCGCCCCTCGAAACCCTAACCTGACGGGGGCCACCCTCTGCTCTGCTTAACTCTCAGACACTCCTAAGCGAGACTGGGGAGGGGGCAGTTGCAACACAGCACCTACACACTGGAGGCCGGGCAGGAGGGGCCGAGGGGCCCAGCGCCACTGGGCGCTGCACAGTCTCCTCCACCCCCCGCCCCTCCCACCCCTGTGGGACCCGCTTCGGCCCGACGGCACCGCACCTCCAGCACCAGGTGTCTGAGAGCAGCCTCACCTCTGCTTCACGACCCTCTATTTTCCATGTTCTCAAGCTGTCACATCCTGTCCCTTTCTTTCATCCTGCCTGGCCCCTCCCCCCACCCCCAGGAGTCACCACGTTCTGCACATTTTAGCACTTTCCCTCTTAAAAACATCCCTCTTTTCTGTCTCTCATATTTCTGCTCTAATCTTCCTCACTTGAATAAATATTATGTGCCTGATGCAGACATTCACAAAACCTGCCCTTGTACTTTTCCCTAGCTACACTCTGACCTCAGGTTTAGAGGAAAAAAAAAAAATTGGATGAAAAGAGAAGGGACAAGTTACTTCCCTGGTGGTCCAGTGGTTAAGAATCCACCTTCCAACACAGGGGACGCGGGTTCGATCCCTGGTCGGGGAACTAAGATCCCACGTGCCGCAGGGCAACTAAGCCCGTGGGCCGCAACTACTGAGCCCGGGCACCACAACTACAGAGCCCATGCACTCTGGAGCCCGCGCACCACAACTAGAGAGAAGCCTGCACGCAGCGACAAAAGATCCTGCATACCACAACCAAGACCCAACGCAACCAAAAATAAATATAATAAGTAAATATTAAAAGAAAAAGTAACGTGACTGAGTACTATAAGGAAAAATTACAGCTGTATCAGACGCCCAAAAACTTCACACCTGAAATTGCCTACACTCAACGATACCTCATTAACATAAACTTCTATAAATTTATTATACATTTATAACATAAATTATAAACTGTCTATAAAAAGATACCAAGTATCTCAGCCTGAATCACTCCCTTTGGACGATAACTCACCACCGGCCACGAGTCAGTGTGACTTACAAGTGCCGAGTAATCACAGACAACAAGCAAACTGTCCCAGGAGCAGAATACGTTCAGGTTCAGAGAGCAGCGAGTGAGTCTGCAAGACGCCGCGGGTCACAGAGCTGAGTGCGGGAGTGGTACTCACTGTGTGCTGTGGTCTAGATACGTGATCACGCGGTCACCCTCCTCCCCCAGGCGCTTACTCACATGGCTCAGGTACTCCGGAACCTTCCAAACACAACATTTCAACACGTCAGCAACAGAAACTTCTTCACGTTAGCCCAGGGGCTGAAATACTGTTTCCCTTATTTAAGAAAAAAAAGCAGACTCTACGTTCAGGCCCAAACGTTAACGGAGTACCAGGAGCGGGGGTGCCGAGGAGGGCGAGGGAGATACACGGCAGGAGGCTTCCCTCAGCCCCATCCTGGAGACTGAAGGTGACGTCTGGAATGGGGGCAGGCAGCACGGCACCCCCCAGCCCACGCTTGGCGGGGTGGGCAAACGCCAAGCAACAGGCTGTTCCTCTGAGGCCCCAAAGGGAGTGGCTGCAGGAGATCTCAAAACACACACTCTCTGAGTTTCCAGGGGTGAAGGGTCACCTGCCTGCCCAGCAAAGGCCCCATGACAGGGGTCGCTGAGGCTCTGATCCCTGGGCGGCAGCCAGGCCGGTCTCCGACTCCCCCTCCTGTGACGGTCCCAAGGGGC